GGGGGGGGGCATTTACAGGGCAGCTGGATGCAGCCGGACACAGCAGGGGGCAGATGGACACAGACTCACCTTTCCCAGGACTTCCATAGGCAGGTTAGACTTCATCAGCACTGGTTTTGCTTTCTTGCCGGACAACAGTCCGTTTACTGGGGACAGGCTCTCGAAAATGTCACTGAATGTCTCCCTCTCCTCCGGCTGCGGGGACAGTGACAGATAGAGTGTTTTTTCACTGGTCCACGGGCCACCCAGAACTTAACAAAGATGCGGATGCGGCAACTTTTGAAAGTCCCCTGTATTCTGGGGGCAGAGCCAGGCGACCGCCACGGTCACTCCTCCAGCACGGTCAGCAACATCAAGCTCCCTCACCTTCACAGCCCAGTGGGCGTCGCCCAAGGACATGCTGCCCAGAATCGGACTGCCTGTGTCAGTCTGCAAACAGAACACTCCAGGTTACAGACACACAAGTGAAGAAACATCACTCCTACATTGCTCAAACATTACTCAGATATTACTCAAACGTTAGCCACACTGTGCTTCAGCACTCACAAACGTGGGCGGGGGTCCCGGGAGCTCGAGGCCAGTGAGGCTGATTTCCTGACCACTCTGGGCTCGACCCACAAGCCTCAGAGCTACCAGGAAGCCCTGCAAAGACAGGAGAACAGCAGATGAGAATGAGCCCCCCGGCCAAGTCGAGCTGGGGGATCTGTGATAGCGGCTGGCTCCACCTGCTTGTCCAGGAAGCCTTTTCCATTGGGGTCTGCCAGCTCCCATATCTGAAGGTCAGAAGTCGCATGTCGATTACCTTACATTCCAGTCACACATGCAGCCACACACCTCAGCATCCCCGACACACATGCTCTCACACACCTGGCCCAGAGTACTGTCAGGAAGCTTTGACTTCTTCAGGAATAGTGCAGCCTCACTGGCTCCCACCCTGCCTGTACTTCTGGGATCGACCTTCAGGGGGAGACAAAGTGCATCCACACAGAGCCAGCTTCACCCACAATAACACTTAAGATGTTTTTCAAGGAATTATTCTGAATCAGGGCAAGGCTGGCAGTATCCAGCGCTCGGTATTGTGGTTCGACACCATGATTGATAGAGGTCAAATTATGAGTCACTGAAGTGTATCATCTACCCCACCCTGCAGCAGTACAGGTCCACCCTACAACTGTTTAACAATCACTATGGGCTCTTTCACTATGAAGTGATATATCATCCCAACCTACCCCATAGAAACATGAAAGTCGACCACAAGTTTCCATTTATAAAAAGTAAAATTAAACTTCTAAACTACAGCCAGGACGTCTTTACAATGTGACCCCCCCACCCTCCTCCAAGTAGGACAGCATGTTCCCTCCCGCACACACACACACACACACACACACACACACACACACACGGGCAGGTTGGCAGCCTCATTGTCAGTACCTGTCTGTAGAAGTTCTCATATATGGGGTTTCCACCGGACAGCTGCAGGGACAGAAAAACACCGCTTTAGGAAGAGAGTAACACAGATGCCATGCAAACATTCTCCCTCGCAAACACAAAGGAGGGGCGTGTGGTACGGAAGGCCGCTTTAGGTAAACAAAGCCGTAACGAGGCTGGCCCGTGACTGAGAGCGCGAGGCAGGGCCAGGCTAGCACACGGCACTCTCCTACAGGGTATAGCGTTAGCTACCTCTCATTTATGGAACCCACGGCGGTCTGCTATGAGGGAGACCCTTCCTGACTCCCTCAGCTGTTGACAGAGATGTTCAGCCTATATGGGGACATCTGCCTGCTGTTTCAGAGGTTAAATTTCCAGGATGGGCCGTCCGGACGACGAGCCAGATGGTGCCAACTCTGTCCTAATCGCACTTCCTTCTGTGGGTCTGCGTGTAAGCAGCCCTTCCTGGAAGACCCTCTCAGACAGCCACGTACCGCCATGGATCTCTGGGTTTGCTTATCAGGGTGACGACACCACAGGGACAAGGGACACGCCTGCTTTGGTCGGTTTCACTTACTAATGGTTAATAGAAAGACGATCAGCTCTCATGGGATTACCCCACTACATCAGCCAGACCGGCAAGTTTCCCAAATTATCCTCAGCTAGCCCCAGGATATCACTGCAGATTGATCAAGGACTTTCAGAAACTGACACTAAACACTTCAACATAAAACTAAACCAAGAAGCATTATACTTCAGTTAAATCCTTAATACATTTATTGTATCATAGTCTATTAATAGAGCCTGTCACCTACACATACTTAAGGATGTTAGGTTAAATCTTACACATATCTTACCAGACATAAAGAAAAACATGGGACATCTTGTCACACGTGGAAAAATTATAAGGAGGAAATCAAAGCAAAAAACATTTAAAGGTTTAAAAAGCCAGCCGGAAAACATAGAGGAATAGCGACAAAGACGATGTCAGCTGTATGATTTAGGATCTTTTATGAAAATACACAGGCGGCATTTCAATTAAAACGGCAGTTCCCCATTAAAGACCTGACCGGCTATGCGGATCTGTAAGAGCGGATCGGTGTCATTTACCAGCGGACATGTGCCGGACTGGGACACGGACAGGAGAATAGAGTGCGCGCCAGGCAAAGCCGGGCTCTGATTTTAACAGGACCGCTCCGTGTCAGCTTGGTGACAGCTGAATAGGACAGCCGAACCCAACAGGGACACCCAACCCGGCATAAGCCCAGACGAGCCCGTACACCTCAATCATCAGCTTTTCCTTCAAATAATATTCATCAGGCAGTCAAAAGCGTCCTAAACATCATTCAGACAGATCATACCTGTGCCAGAGACGGGAGCGCCGCCATGTTTCCTGCCGCAGCGGGGACGCGCTGCGGGGACGCGCACCCAGCTGTCCGATTATCCGCAGGGCGCACTGATTCAAAGACCCGACCGCAGGGCTGTGTGCCCTGTTTTTCACACCAGTGCCCAGTTTGGGTTATACGTTTAATTTAAAAAGATTTCTTTATCTAATTTTATTTGTATTAAAACATAGCCGGCACTCATGACTCTTATTAAAATCATAATCTTTATTTTTATGGTACTTACGAAAATAACAAATATAAAATTACGATACTGGGGAGTTATGTTTGTGCAGTTTCCCATTTTAGTGAGAGAATAAAATCGAGGTTTTTATTTATTTTCAGCACTGTGTCGCCATCTGGTGGGGATATGTTTTAGTACAATGATTTGATTTATTCCAGATGTTACAAATAAAACTTCGGATTCAGTTAAAAAGACATAGACTCACACAAATTAAAATAAAAAGTGTCACCCGGAAAGCTTCACAAAAGCATCTTTGATTATTCTGACACGTACCCTATAAAAAAAACTCGTCCCGCAATAGAGCGTGACTAATGCTCGTATACAGAAAAAACTTAGTTCATTAAAAGAATGACTCAGTAGTGATAATAATAGAGCGTTATTTAATACTACCGCCAAATCAGGCCCTTCAAAGTACACATCCCAGGGATGAGGGAATGATCACATATTGTACCGTCTCCATTCGTCACTTATATTCATATTTTAAATCCTGACACTGCGCCCATTACGATCAGGGGCAAAGATTCGAAGAAGCAACCTCTTTGAGAATTCCCCTGGGGGCAAAAATCACAGTGAAACTTGTGAAACTGGGACAACCCTTAATCCAATGCTTTGGGTGGATTTAGCATGCGTTAATAATCTGAACACAGCAGTCTGCGGACATGTCTTCTTTTTAGCCCGATCTGAGGTAGCAATACAACAAAGACCTGCATACGCAGTGCGTCGCCAGAACCAGGAGTAATAAAAAAAAAAAGCTACTGTAGATACTGTAAATTAACTTCCAGTAGCACTGCAGTCTACGCTGCAACCTAATTAAGGGATTTATACTGAAAGTAGATGCCAGTCTTTGTATGACCGCGTAGAGGCGCGGCCTCCAGGGAGCAGGAGCGCCCCCTTCGGGCAGGTCGCCATATGCACACTAATGTCCCTTTGCAAATCAGAGCTGTCTCTGCTAACCGGCCGCCAGATGGCGCTCAGCACTGCGGATCTCCGCTTTATGCATGTAAATGGTGATTTGTAAAGAAAAATGATACGGATGAAGTACAATACCTTATATTGCATTGAATCCTAATTAAAACAAAGAAAAACACATACAATAAAACTGCTCAGCCGGAGTGCAGGCTGTAAGGGGTCATGGCGCCGTACTGTCCTACTCAAGATGAGCAACTAGAAGATGGGTGGACAGAAGGTTTTGCGGCACTTTAGATCAGTGTTTCCCAACCCAGTCCTTGGGGAATCCCAGACAGTCCACATTTTTGCTTCCTCTCAGCTCCCAGCACACCTGTACCAGGCATTCGGTGTTCCTGATTGGCTGGGAGGGAGCAAAAACATGGACTGCCCGGGGATGCCTGAGGACTGGGTTGGGAAACACTGCATTAGATAATCTCTCCACGGTCATGTATCAAAAAGGTCAACACACACACACACACACACACACACACACACACACACACACACACGGCAAGCAGTGCGTTTGAACAAGCAGTGAGCATCCTCCGCTGTGTAGAAGTCAAGAAGTGGGTCTCTGCTATTAGGGATAACAACCACAACAGAGCTACTTAAAGAATAAGCTTTAATATCAACCAAAAAACAGTGTTTTCATTCTAAACACACTCAATTATTCAATTAGCCCAATCAGGACAGGTACAATCAAAGGGGAAAAAAAAAATCTTTAAAAAAAATTAGAACACAAAACGCACTCGCCTGCACACACACACACACACACACACACACACACACACACGGGGCGTGCAGAGACCATGTGAGGGGGGAGTTTGCTGAGGAATTAGCTCCATATTACCCCCAGCATGGCCTTAACCCCACTTGCACACTCACAACATTCAAAAACCCTGCCTTCACCAGTAACCCCTTTCCTGCAAATAAAAGTATCAACAGCTCAAGTCCAAATGGCATTGCTGATTGGATGGACCCATACAGGCCCCGCCCACAACAGCCTGTGGGCCCACCCCTCAGAGCTCATCTTTGGATGCCACATCCTCCTCTTCCTCTTCTGTAGGGCTTGGGGCTTCCTCCTCTTCGTCGTCACTCTCATCCTCCTCATCCTCTTCCCCATCCTCCGTGTCCTGCTCTTTGTTCTTCTCCTCATCCTCTTTGCGTTTGGCCTCCTCCTGCTCGTCCCTCATCTTCTTCTCCAGGTCCTGTTTGGCAGAATGGTGACAGGTGGTGTCCCAAAGGGGGTGGCAGTCATCTTTCGGAGTCATGCCAGGAAGGCAGCCCTCAATCCCGACTCACCTTGGTGACGCCCCACGTCTCCTTCCCGAATTCCGCAGCCGCTTTCTCGTCATCGGTGATGAGGATGTTGTCAAAGACGGTGCCGCTCTTCACCTGCAAATAGCAGTCAAGCAGGCAGTAAAAATCAGGTCGCCCCCAAAAGCCCAGGTCACCGATCAGTCCACGAGCCGCTGGCTGCGGAACCCACCTGCCAGAGGTCCAGGCCCAGAACTCCAATGTTGTCGTACTTGTAGATGGCGGAGTCTGGTGTATACTCTGGGTTCTCGATCTCTGGGTGCACCCACACGCCTTTGTAGTTGGGGTTCTCGATCTGCTTCGGTTTCCATTCTCCCTGAAATGGCAGAAGCGTGTTTACGGAATTTTACAGGCTCGAGGTCTTCGTCACGCCAGTAGGTGGCACGGCACTTGCGGAACCCAGATCGGCACACCAAGCAAAGCCGGTACGCACTTTATATTCCGGGTTGGGAACCATCGGGGGCTCCCACTCTCCATCCATGTCCTCGTCCCAGTCGTCGGGCTTCTTGGCATCAGGGTCTGGAATGTTCTCAGGCTTATCGAAGTCCTACAGGGACAACACACTGGCTTAGCCGGCAGTGCAGCAGAGAAACGGCAAAGGCACTCGCAAAGAAGAAAAATAAATTCACGCATCATCTGAATGAGGACCAGACTGTGGCTGGCTGGACAAACACCTGTAGCAACTCCTCACCCCAGTGAGCAGAAAAGTACAACTCAATGAAACAAGGCTGATACTGGGAGCGACCAGCCAATCACCCGTCTAGACTGAGCTGTCAATCACCTGACAGGCCATGCAGCCATTCAGAGGCTCAGGGGCGGGACAAAAAAAAAAAAAAAAAACACACACCTCTGGCTTAGTGTCCTCAGGGTCGTCGATCTTAGCGCGATCATCCCAGTCTTCCGGCTTCTTGGCCTCGGGGTCCTTGATCATCTTTGGCGGCAAGAAGTCCCAATCTTCCTCCAGGGTGCCCGACTCCACCTTCTCGTTGTCGATCTTCACCTCATAGGTCTGGTCTGGCCGCAGGATCAGTGTGTAGAGGTGGGTCAGCTCGTCGTCCTGGAAACAGCAGAACACACATGCGTTAGACCGTCACCAGGACACAGAAGGAGGCGTTCCGGGACCCTGGGGGGGGTCAGAACTTCCTCAGCTCACCTTGCACTTGATCTCCTTCTTGATGAGGTGGTTTTTGCCTTTGTAGTTGAAGATGACATGGACCTTCTTGGTGCTGTAACCACAGATGTCAGGCCCTGTGCAGACAGGCGGTGATATTGAGGTTAGCCTTCAGTACCGGCACTCAGGAGTGAGAATGTGTCGCACACTTGGCCTCACACACCGAACATGATGTTATACTGGGACTCTCCGTGCATGTCTGCCTGGTCCAGGTCCGCCGGGAACACCTTGACGTAGCCCCCACCGCAGTCGATCTTCTGCTCATGTTTGACAGTAAACTGGATCACCAGAGTCTTGTCCTGGCTGCTGAAGGGCTCGAAGCGGGATGAAACGGCGTAGAAGCGAGCGTCCTGGCTAGTCTGAAGGCCTGCAGGGGGCGATAGACACAGCTGGGGTCACAGCCTCGGAACCGATCCAAACCATTCCTCCTGTCTGCTCTAAGGACAGAGCTCTAGATCTGAAGTACTGAGCCTCGCCCTAGAGCAGAAAATTAACGCACATTTTTGTGCGATGCCCAGAGAACATAGAAGAGACACGTGACGTGTTAAACAAGGTCCCTTTATCTCTCTGTTCCCGTTTCCTCACAGACCTTCTTATGAAATGTAATCATGATTTCATTGATCATACACAACTAGCAGATGCTGGTTACTGTGTAGCAGTGCTGTTTTTGACAATGAGTAAACAAAATTCAATCTGGTTGCGATTTCACAGCACAGCAAACAAAGTTAAAAGGGGGGGGGGGGGGGAACAGACCCCTAACCTTTGTCCTTCTCAGCATCTCCATAGAACTTTCCGGCTGTCAGGATCCACTTTCCGTAGTCAGACTTGTGTTTTGATTCCACCCAGCGGTTCTTCCACTCATCTACAAGGGAAAAGGAGTTCAGCAGAGACCCAAAACCACCAGGGGGGAAACCGGTGCGGATTTTAATCGAGGAAACGTCAGTCAGAACGTATGCTCTCTCACACAATATCACAGGTAACTGGTACATTTTCCTACTTTGGAAACGATATTCAGAATTCATCCCATGCGCATAACACTTTACTGCACGTTTCACTGGCACGGATCAACGAGTGAGCAAAAGTGAAACCAAAGACAAAACGCAAATTTTCTACTCAGCAGCATAACACGATGCTACTCATGATGCTCCAACGCTTTGTGTTAATATTGAACCGTATTGTAAAAAACATATTGTATATCGGAGAGGGTGGGGTGTGACCCACCCATTTTACAAGCGGCTATAAGTCATGCTTTTCACTTGCAACGAAATTTCCTCACTAACAATGGAAAAATAAGTGACCTTAACGCAAAACAAAACAGATTCAATACTTTATACGATCACACTAACTCAAGCAGGACCATCATGCGAAAATGGTGATTGTAATACCGTTAACGTGACAAACCGATCAACCAGGGATCTGTAATTCGGGGAAACGCTAAAGCAGCCTTACCTCCGTCCAGAAACTGCTCTTTAAAGTACACGGTAGCGTTGACGGCAGCCAGGGCCGCGAAGACCGGGAGGAGGCCGAGGAAGCGCATGGCGGAGATGAAGCACCGGGAAACAGGGGACGGATCTGCCGCTAATTGTGCTGCATGAGGGGATCCTCGGCTATATCGGTGAACAGATGGCCGCCGCTGATTGGACGAGCCGCGGGCCAATGAAAGCAGACCACGAGTTAGCCGTAGGAAGTGGCCGGGTCGAGACGCGGGGCGGAGGCGGAGCCCGTTCGGCGCTGATCCCGGATCGGCTGGGGGGGGGCACAGACCTCGGAAGCGGTTATCTCCCCAAGATACAGATGTCGTTTTTGACAGATGAATGTTACACAACAAATTGTTGTTCGATTGTTACCATAAGACCTTGTTATGTACTGTAAGTCTACTTATTTGTGCATCGTGTTTGCTCTTTTCTCTCCCCCCCACGATCCACCGAGGATTATTCGAGAGAAACTGAGGGACGCGAGGTAGACACAATGGGGGACGGCAGTTCAACCACATTTACTGACGAATCATAAACAGCAAAATGCCACGCATAATAAACGGAAAGTACGCTGACTTACCCCGGTAACACACGCCTTTGAATTAGCGTGTGTTAATTATATTTATTTCCCTGGTCCTCAGTGTCCCGATTGATCCTTTGTTTACGCTGTAGTGCTAGGTCTAACTGTACTGTGTGCGAAGGCAATCCATCACTCCAGGTAACTGCCTCCCAAATTAAACAACACTATAGCGTTATAAAAACAACAGCAAAGGTGACGAGATAAGCCTGCTTTGAAAAGGGAGAGGCTAGTGTGGCTTATGTTGCAGTTGTGTCGTTTATTTGTGTATTTTTAGAGTATTAAATAGTTACTGTGAGGATCCCACAGTCTGCTCAGCAGAAAGTGGATGCGGGGGCCGACCGTCTGTCAACATCAAGCGCCAATCAGCCTGTCACACATAGCAGACACACCATAGTGACCATACACATGCGTTTGCAGCACACTTCCTCATTCTTCCTGACCCCCCATCTCTGGGATTGAAGACTTACCACCCCTGGTGGTAAGGTGCAGTTACTGCAAGTTAGTGTATGGGAAGGACAAGTGAGATTGAGAATCAGATTTATTCAAGTACATCGCTGCGTACATGGAGTTATTTCGGTGCAAACAAAAGGACCTAAACTGCTCTAAACAGAATATGGGACAAAAAAAGAAAACTCACTGAGGCTCATTACTGGACTGATCTCACACCAAAGCTTGAAATCTTTAAATAAAAATAAAAAAACAGGGACATTAAGCTTCCAGCAACAGCGACCAGCAAGAGAAACGCTGAGTGGGGAGACAGACTCACTGCACAAATGAGCAGGACAACAAAGCTGCCTTGCATCTGCCCTTGGGTCTGACTGTTTGCCACTCAGCACCACGTCAGCATGGCTACTGATCCTTGTCCGGGGGGGGGACCTTTTACACCGTTTGGTCATTTTAAAAAGACTATTACAAACTATCTAATTAGTGTTTCCTCGCCAACCTGCAAACGGTCCATATGCTCCCTACCAGGAGCTGGGAGGGAGCAAAACCGGGGACTGTCTGCGGGTCCCAGAGTACGGGACTGGGAAACACTGATCTAACTGTACAAACGGGAGACGACCAGGACTGGGGAGCCTGCCAGCTGCTTCGAAGGTCAGTCAGGCCTGCAGGAGGGACCATCGCCGTCACTGGGGGGCTGAGGACTGCTGGGGATCCCGATTCACTGTCAGGGTGACGGATAACAAAGACAGGGAATGAAAATGGATGAAAGAAAAAAAACAAGGAGAAAGTGGGGGCAAAAGAGGGTGGGGAGGAAATGGGGAAGGTTACCGTCCTCCCTGGCCATCATGCGTGCGATGAAGGTGTGACTCTTGTTGCGCCGGTAGTTCTCATAGGGGTCATCCAGCGATACACCCACCCCCTTGTACTGGTCCCACTTGTCCCGAACGTCACCCTCCTTCACGGGGTCTCGGATGCCCTGCTCCTTGGCCCCAAGCCCCCCCGAGCCACTCCACCCTGTGGGGGAAAACCAATGAGCACCGTCCGTCCAATGGCTTGGGGCACCCCCCCGCCTTCGGGACTTACCCATCTTCCTCAGCATCCGGTGGCCCTTGTTCTCCTCTCCCAGCCTCTGCTCTGAAGTGGAGCCCAGTCCAGATGTAGACCTGCCAACAACGCCAGCACCCATCACACACCCCCGTGGCTGCACGAACCCCCCCCCCCAGGCGGCCCAAGAGACTTACGGAGGGGAGGCAGTGCGGGACCTGGCCCGGCGCCTCCTGCTGGGAGAGCCGGATCTGGAGCGGGAGCGAGAGTGGGATCGGGAACGGGACCTGGAGCGGGATGAGCGGGAGCCGCTCCTGATGGGTGACAAAGGAAGGTTCCTTGACCAGGTTCTGTACCAGGCTGACTTAATACCAGACAAGAACAAATTGGTGCAGAACCTCTGACCTGTGAGTAAGCAGCCTTACCTGGACCCAGACCTTGAGCGGGACCGTGAGTAGGAGCGTGAGCGGGACCGGGAACGGGACTTAGACCTGGACGAGGAGCGCGAGGACGACCTTCCCCGGCTGCGGGAGCGGCTGCCGCGTGCACTGGGGGGAGGGGCACACAGAGATGGGTGAGGTGGCTGCCAGACAGGGGCCTGTCCACCAATCAGAGAGCGGCCCACCAATCAGAGAGCGGCCCACCTGCTCCGGTCCTCCTGAGCCCGCTTCCTCCTCGCTCGCATCTTGGCCCGGAAGAACTCGTAGAGCCCGTTCTGCTCCCAGCCCTCACTGGGGGGGGGGGCACAACACACATCAGCAAAAGAGCCTCCAAAGCCACAGCTCACCATTAACGCAGCAGCGCCACCTACCTGTTTCTGGGCCGCTCGTGCGAGGGGGGGCTGTAAAAGGCCTCCACAGCTGCCAGCAGCCTATCGCTGGGGGGCATGGGGGGCGGCAGCCGGATGTCCTTGGGGTCCAGAGCCTTGTAGTCATGGTCCTCCAACTTGTCAGAGTGAGAAAGGGACAGACATCAGGGTCTGGCAGGAGTGGGTGGGACGCAGGATAGGCACGTGTGCAGTGGGGAGGGAGGCATACCCCCCCTCACCTTGATCAGTGGAGCCATGAGCCCAGCCGGCAGGTCGAAGTAGGGCACATTGGGTACCAGGCTGGGGTCATCCTGGCTGACGTGGGAGGGGGCCTGACGCCGACCGTGGGGGGCCTGGCCGTTAAAGCCGCGCGGTGGCGGGGGCCCGAACTCCGGGTGCTGGCTCCCCCCCCAGGGAGGGGGCTCTGTCATGCCAGGGGGTGGGATCCTGTGGCTGGGAGGGGGGTGGGGAGGAGGGCCTAGGTCTGGAGGACAGAGACACACAGTGGGTAAGAGACAACCAGGACTGAGGGGGGCAGGGGGGCTGAGAGACGTGAGCGCAGGGTCACCTGATGGGAAGTCGCCCTGCTGGTACTCAAAGCCAGGGGGCGGGTAGGGCGGAGGCTCAAAGTGGTGTCGGGGGGGCAAGTCGTCCTGCATAAAGCGGGGCGGGAAGCGGCCAAAATCGTGGGGAGGTGGGGGCTGGTTGAAGGGTGGGGGCGGGCCTCGGAAAGGTGGGGGCCGCTGCATCCGGAAGGGCGGTTCCCTCTGGCCCCACGGCGGACGCTCGGGCTGCCCGCTCCACGGCGCCTCCCGCTGCCCGCTCCACGCGGGCGGTGGGGGCGGCGGCTCCGGCTGGCCGGCCCAGGGGGCGTTCTCCCGCTGCTCACTCCAGGGGGCGTTCTCACGTTGGCCACCCCAGTTGGGGTTCCGCTGCTCACTCCACGGCGCCTCGTGGCCTGCCCAGGGGGGGCACGGAGGTGGGGGCTGTGTGGGGTCGAAGGGGGGCTGCAAGTTCAGGTCAGATGTCTGTATGAGTACAAGGCATTGTCGATCTGAGTGAGGATTTTATGACAGCTCCCCCTTGTGGCTCATCACCGAATAAAGCCATGAGGTACGCCAGTCCAATTACAGCTGGCACCTACCGGCTGCTGCTGGGGCCAGGCGGACAGGTTGCGCTGGGGGTCGAACCAGCCGGGTTTGGGGGCGGGGATGGCGTCTCCGGGTTCACGGGGCGGGGCCGTCGCAGGCAGAGGGTTCCGGCCAACCTCGTAGTCCCCTTTCACCTCTCCTGCACGCAACCCCAAGAATAAAACATATTATAGCCACGAAAACTCTAGACAGAACAGGTGCCACTCAGCAGGATCTGCCAGGACACTGGACCCCACCGAGCGCTGAACAAACCGCGTGCGACTTCCTATTAAACTTCGATGCTGCTACTCACATTTTATACAAAACATACACAGAACATACTCCATGGTCTGGGTTAAAAGTACAGCAGCAGGGCCTGTCAGATTTCACATCCAAAACCACTGCACCACCTGCTGGATCTGCAGGGAGCCCCATCAGCTTCATCGACACGGAAACCACGCACTAAATTAAGCAGGCGTGCAGAAGTTGAGAGCGGCGGCCCGATTCCTGTACCGTGCTGCGTAGTGGGGGCTGGGGCTTCTCTCTCCCCCGCGGGGGCCTGCACCACGGGCGCCGGGACCGGGCTGGGCTGCGGCTGCGGTTGCGGCTGCGCTGGGGCCGGCGACTGTCTCAGGCTGGCCACCAGCTCCTGGTGCTGCGCCTGCAGGGCCTGAATCTGCTGCTGGAAGGCCGTCTGCACGGGCTGAACCACGGCCGCGTACTCTGTGATTAATGAGGCCTGCCAGGGGGGATAGCCGAGCCCAGATCACACACACAGGCAGACTCAGCCAGCTGAGAGCAGATGCAGAACCATCGTACGTCAGACTGGGAAAGCGTGTTAAATATAGGCAGAGGTCACACACACACACACACACACACACACACACACACACACACACACACACACACACACACACACAGCCTCACCTGATACTGGCCCAGCCCCAGGGCAGGGCTCTGCAACTGCTGGATGGTTGTCTCATCAAAGTAGCCATTCTTCTCCCAAAGCTGCAGCAGCTGCAGGATTTAGAACAGAGAAGGTGAGTTTAGAGCACAACGGAGCACTCACACACACCCAGACCCCAGCGGCAACCGGCCGGAGGTGTACCCGAGCGATCTTCTGCTGTTTGTCCTCCTCCACGGCGAGGAAGCTGGTGCAGTAGATGGGCACGACCACCTTCTGCAGAGCTGCCAGCAGGTCTCTCTGTTGCTTCCTCTGACTGCAGCCAGAAGTGCAGATGCCACATTGTTACTAAGGCTCTAGGGGGTCCCTCTCCCCCCCCCCCCCCGAGACCCTCCCCAGCACTGACCAGTGATGCAGAACGTCGTTGATGAGGTAAATCAGGTGCAGGCGCAGCTGGAAGGGGGCACCGCTGGCAGTCACACGGTTGCGCAGGTGCCCAGCCATCAGCTCGCAGTGCTGTGGCGACTTGGCGTTGCTGAACATCCAGTTCTTGCCAGCCTGCAGGGGACGACAGAGAGTCATCAGACTGCAATAAAAGAGCCAGCGCCAACAGGGGACAGGGGACCTGGACGAGCGACGAACCGAGATAGCGTCCTTGGTGCAGGTGTCGATGATTGGCTGCAGGAGGCCATCAAACTCGGATACGTCCAGTTGGGTCTCGTGCTGCAGCTTCTGGGTCTGCTGCTCCAGGGCAAGGGCTACGGCGGCCGTCACCTGCTCCTGGGGACCGGAGGCCATACACGCCCTCAGTTCGGAGCTAGGGGCGTCCGCTCACCTACCTTGATCATCAGCCACCACTCACCTGTCTGAGGTTCTGCAGGTGCTGCTCCTGATGCTGCAGGTTCCACTGGCTCTGCTGGATGAGCTCGTCCACAGAGGGCGTGGCCATGGGCGGGGCTGGGACAGGGGGCGGAGGCAGTGTGTTCATTGGGGGAGGGGCATCTGGGCCATCTTGCCCAGGCTGTTTACATAGCACTGTGGGGTGGAAGACAGTTAGACTGTCAGCATACCTTCTAACTACCACCAAAAGAGGCCCTTGACACCCAGCTCCAGAAATGAGAGAGGAATATGTGCAACAGCCCACAGCATCCTACCCCAACACCTGACCCACTACGTACGTTGCTGCTGCTCCACGGCCAGCTTGTACTTGTAGTAGCCAAAGAAGTCACCCCCAAACAGGAAGGAAAACTTGGGGTTCTCTTTCTGCTTCTCCATCGTCATTTTCTCGAACTCAGGGCCATTTCGGGCCACAAACTGGGCCAGCTTGTCAATCACATTCCTCAGCTCCTGATCTGAGGAAAAAAACAAGATAACTTATATTAACATTAATAAAATAATCACACATGGTCCAAAAGGCGTTTTCAACCACTTAATATAACGTTTAAATAAATCACATCACTTATCGATCCAAACTGCATCCATCCCATACGGGTGAACAAAATGCATTCTAGAAACTGGTGGTACGGGCACTAAGCTGGGTATTATTAGCAGATCTATCACAACTTGAGATATTAAAGGTAAACGGATTATCTCATTTTAAATACTCAGTTAAGTACCATCCAGGCCGGTCCCGATCTCTGACATGCTTATCGGAACGCCTTCTAAAGGCGTTTTTATATAGATCCTATCGCATACGTGCTAGTTGTTCTTCTGCTTGATAGATAAACGGGGTTGCGGGTTAGGGTTAACTAGACTAATGTTATAATGTTAACTAGGTTTAGCGGTGATAATCACTGGCGGGATGAACGAAGCGGCGCAAACGGGAGGTTAGGGTTTAAAAGTACAGACAGTAAAACCCTAGAAACGGGACCCCTGTCTGACTGAGGGGTTTATTTTAAAGGAGACTCATTTCTTAACGCACCCAGGTGGTTAGCCTGCTTGGATTTAATACAACATGTTAGCTAAACTGCTAACGCTCGCCATTATGCACCATTAGCAAACCGTCAGCACCGACCTTCGGGAGGCGTCGCCATCTCCACCGCCCAAACAGAGCTCGCTTCGACCGTGTACTTCCTGAAAACACCACGGACTTTCGGAGTTGAGCCGCCTGCTGAACTGGGAGAAGGCAAATTTACCTGGGCGACGACACGGCGGGAAGCTACACTTACATGCTACACATGCTATGTGTTAGCCGAATGCTAAGCGTGGCCAAGGTCGCGCTGGCGCGTCGCGGCGCCCCCTGTCGGATGGGAGGACACGTAGGCGCCCTCTGGTAATTACAGTAAGGTATAAAAGTTTTGAGTGTAAATAAATAACGAAAAAGATTGTGTAGAAGCATATAACAGTTGATTCCTGGAAATGCAGTTTTGAATTAGGATATTATTCGAGATTTTTTCTGTGTGTTTGTGACCAAATCAGCTGAGGTTTCCTACGTTTTGCTTCGAAACAAAGACAAAAAGAAAAAAACGGCCTATAACCCGCCTCCTTGCCCCCTCCACCTCCTTCCATCCCCCATCCACCTTTGATTATGTCATGAGAGAAAGCTTTATTGTTTCCGAAAAACTGTCTTAATCAAACCCAATTAAGGCTCCTTCCCCTTATTATGCCCACCATTAAAAGCCTTCCTCTTCAGCTTGTTAACTCCAACCTGGGCCCCGCTAGGATTATCGAGGGGGGACGTGGGTAACAAAAATATTTTACAATTAGAGCATAATTAGTAATCCATTTCCTCACATTATATGAAGGACTTAATCAAGGTATATGGCTTTTCTACCTTAGAGTGAAGGCAGGGAGCACATTCAGACTTTTACATGATTCACACTTACACATTTTATATTCTACATGTGCAAGAGTCCCTGTTAAGTGTGTTTCTCATGGAATTCTGGGACAGGGTTATGCAGGGTTGTCAACTCTGGTCAGCTGGTTGGCATGAGATTTTAATTTTGAGACAAGTCTGTACACACATTTACATGTATGTAACAGTTTTATTACCTTGAATAGTCTTCCATCTTTGCATACCACTTTCTTTGTGTCCTTCTGTGTTCCTGTCCACATGTGTACCTGTCATTAAACACACTCTCTCAAAATACCTAATAAAGGAATTTTGTTGCCATGCCTTCAGGTGCTCGAACCCACAACCCGTTCCTTAACCCGCTGTGCTGAGGCCCCAGGATGCTCCTCCTCCCCAACCGGAAAGGGGTGCTGTTAAAGCCCGGACCTGCTTGTCTGTGGGGAGTTGACCTGAAAGGCACTCAGGGAATCCCAGGACGACTGTCAGTCAAACACTTTAGGGTTTGGGGCTAATCTCGTCTTGGCGGGTTAAGATGTGAGCGCTTCCACCCAAATTAGCAGCCAGCAGACGGGACGGCATCCTGGTGTCCTGGTGACTCGGCTCACAGGATTAGAGGCATCCAGGTGCATTTTGGGATTGTTTGGCAGATCAGAGGGACAGCAAAACTACAGTAATATATTTTTAAGAATTTGTACGTTTAGTAAAATACACTGTGGAACGTGACCCCACCCCCAAGACCACTGTGATTACTGCAATAGTATCTTTAGTCCCAGCTGGTCTTGGCCAAGAGAAGGGGGGGGGGGTTAAAATCTTTTAAGATGCATTATTCTGATTGTCAGTGTCCCCCGCTGAAGATGACGATGACCACAGTTCTTCATTAAAGCCACTTCCGATTAAAGGTGACATGAATAATTCCGGTGACACATCTTTGCACGTGCAAATGTGTAAGTAATAAAAGCAGTTATGTATGTACAGTACTGCGCAAAAGTCTTAGGCAATGAATATGATGTTTAAATGATGTTGATCTTGGTGTATAACTATATTATGTCTGTCAAACTTACCAGCTTAGCCGTTTCAGAACCTCTCCTAATGTCACCGCAGCATTTGCAGTAACCATGCAAGACACTTGGACCAATTGGCTAATCAATACCACACTGAGATATTTAGTTAATTAAGCTAATTAATTAAGTGATGGTGGTGAAATTAAATAAATACATGGGATAGTTCGGGTCCCCCTGAGGAGAGGTTTGGGAACTGCAGTGGCGTTCGTTTTGCCATCCAAGATGTCAGTAACTGTTTGGAGAACAGAAGAAATTCTTGTTAGTTTTTATTAGTTACTGTTAATTTGCATATCTTCTAATATTGTGGGTTTTTTTCTGAACAAATATGCATTTACTACCCAGATATATAGCATTAGATATTATCTTTAACTGCCTAAGATTTTTGCATAGTACTGTTTTTAAAACCACATTGTAAATATGCACGTGTGAGAGCAGGCCCCCCCCCCCCCCCCCCCCCAAAGGTGGTGTGCACCTCGTTTGAACAAAACTTAAAAGCTTAATCTTATAAAGGAAATGTATCCTGTTGTTAATCAGTGTATGCTTTATATGCTTATATGTTTTATATGCCTTTAGTCTGTGATTTGTAATATGAAATGTACGTTTTACCTTCATTTGTGCTTAAGGTTGCCTTAAGATAATCAAAAACAAGAGGAAGGCAATGAGAAAGTTAGAACGTTACCTTCACATGCAAAGAGTGTCGGAATAGTCAGTAGAAATTAAGTCAAAACAACCAGGAAGGATTCTGAAAAGATTCTGAAAGAGCTACCTGGCTGAAGCAGCAAAAGCCGTCTAAGTGTTTGTTTGTACATTCGGGGCCCCTCCCTTTTCGGGAGACGTCTGGTGACTGACTGACTGACTGTGATCCCCGATGACCAAAGTATTGATTAATAAAGAAGCAGAACCTCACAGGTTTATCACTCATGCCTTTTAACTTCCACAATATGTTTATATTTAAACAGAACAAGTCTTGCGAAATACATTGAAAAGTACTCATTTAAAATCTCCAGTCACCCAAAAAAGCCAAAACGAGTAGCTGTAGAAAAACAGTCATAACGTTCTAAACAAACATCCCAGTCAGAAGTGACCTGCTACATTTAGTGTCCCCTGTCACCAAACACATAACCGACCCGATGTCACTCATCTACAACTGTGTGACAAGCTGGGAACAGCACGATCAGCTCGTGAACGTGCCTCGTTCCACCATGGGGACATTCGCGGCTGGATTGGACTCCGATGGTCACATGGGCTGCCAGCTCTTGTCCATGGACTGGATGTGCTCTAGGGCCTTCATCCGCAGCGAGGCGACGCTGGAGCTCCACTGCTCTGTGTCCTCTAGGGGGAGCCTGTCTCCGAAGGCCCCAGCACACTGGTAAGGGGGCGGGGCCCCGGCCTGCAGGCCCTGCCCCATAGTTGGTGGGGGGCTGCCCAGGAATCCGTGAGTGGGGTGGGTCAGCTGCAGGTCCTGGGGATGGCCCACCATCCCGGGAATGGTGTGTATCGTGGACCCCCCCGAAAGGGGCGAACTCAGCCAGGGGTCCATGGGCAGGGAGGAAGGGGCCATGGGGGGGCGGCTGAAGGACAGAACAGGCGTGTCGGCCAGCTTCACCAAGCCGGCGTCCATCTTCTCTTGACGCCTCCACTTGGCTCGTCGGTTCTGGAACCACACCTGGGAAAGAGAGGTGGCACCACGTCACCCCCTTCTGGTGAGACGGGAAACTACACCCACCTTCATCTGTCTTGTTAAGGTTCACTCAAAGAACCGTGTCCACTGCAAACTCACTGTAAAGGTCACCAGCCCAGATCCCCATAAGGAGGCAGGAGCTCTTGCAGAGCTGTGATAAAGCTGGCAAAGGCCTGCTGGTGCGCGGCTGAGACCCACCTGCACGCGCACTTCCGGCAGGCTGACCTTCATGGCCAGCTCCTCGCGGCTGTAGACGTCGGGATAGTGGGACCTCTCGAAGGCCCTCTCCAGCTCGTGCAGCTGGTAGGTGCTGAAGGTGGTGCGGTTCCTCCGGTGCTTCTTCTTGGGCTCCTCATCCTCCGCCAGCCCCGGGGACTTCCCGTCGCTCGCCTCCCCCCCGCCCGTCTCGGTCACAGCCTTGCTGGGGAACGGTCCTCCATCTGGGGGGGCGATCAGAGGCATCATGGGGCCATAACGGAGGTGGCGTGAAGCCAAACAGTGAAGTCTAGAAGGATCTGCCGAGATATCATGCAGGATCTCCTGGTTCACAGTAGCTATGAACGTTTATAAAGAACCACACCAACAGCGGCGGTGTTTATCAGCACTCAAACCACACATTTTTGTGAGGCCCCTGAGGTTTGGGTTTGTGACCTGAAAGGCACTCAGGGAATTTGTGACCAGCCCCCTGCTGGTCACAAATAGTCACTACATTAAATATAAAATAATACTTTACTCATTTAGGAGATGCTGAAGCAGCACGTTCCGCTAACCAGCAGATATTCGGACTTGATAGCTATTTAATCTTTGAAACATCTGGGGGGGGGGGTGATATTTGAGTGGGCCCCCAGAAACACCTCAGCACACCAACAGGGGGGCTCTGCCTCTGAGGGACAGAGAAACTCTATCAACTTAAAGCAGCATCTCCTTCACGTCACGACCGAGTGGAATCAGAGCAGGAGCTGATAACTTTATGAGCCAATTCAGACATAATGAAGTCTGGGGCCCGATGCGTCTCTGCTGGCTGCGGGGTGGTTGTCAGTCAGACACCAGCTGAAGCAGAACACAGAGCCTGACAAATAACTATGGCAAAGCTGTTCCGATGGCTCAGCTGTAGGTCCATCCTCAGACCAAGGGCCATTTCCCAGCTAATCCAGTAAGCTGACAGTACCAGCCTGAATGGATCCGGAGGACTCACCCCTCTGATTAACGGAGCCAGTCTGACGCGTCGCCGTGACCGCTGTGACATCAGCACTAAGACAGAGGTCAGGCCGGGTCAGTGTCTATCCGCTAAGGGGCCAAGACACTCCAGGGAGCCTTGGACAGGCTGGCGCTGGTCTCTTTGTTTGAAAACATTCTGGTCCTTTGGCAAGGGAACTGGGTCTGTACAGCCATTTTCCTCCCAAGCCAAAGAGCTCCGACATTCAATCTCTACCAGTGTATCACTTAATATTACATTACCACATGGGATTTCACTACGAATACACCAAATGACTTAAAATCAATGAGTACTGTAAGGATTTGAGTATTTATATGACTAAGTTATTTGTTTTAAGGAGTGATGTTTAAACACCTTAGCAGTTAGAATCCCATATCTGTTGCTCAGTAACCGTGCCTGATCGCCCTTGGTACGATGGGCTAAATGCACTCAGCTTCCCCCCTCTAGGGTCCAACGGTAGAGCCCTTCTTGGGACTTGAACCAACAACCATCAGGTCAGACTTGTATCTTTAACCCCTATTACTCATCTGGTCAATATTTAAATCCACCCCCAGCAAACAGTCTGAAAGTCTTCTAGGATCAGGTTAATCAGCATTTCAGAATCATATTGGGGATTTGACCCTTTATCTTTGCTCTAATTGGTCCAGATTCTTACCTGGTACCCATGAAGGCACAGTTGTACAAGGGCAAGGTGTATGCTTCAAAGAGACCATCCCTATACAAGAGCATAACTTTGGGTTGAACATTGTGGGGGGAGGGTTTGGTGTCTCCATCCATTTATGGGGGTCCAGAGGGTTGTATTGGCTGGTTTTGATTATTGGGTTACAACCCTCCAGCCACCAACCATACCCCCATTATTTTGCCCATGTTCCTGTGCATTTTCACCTTCTAATCAGTCTGTCCACAGCTCCTGTCTCACTTCTGTCACCTATACTTGTGAACCTCAGAAAGTTCTGTATAACCTGATACGAGCTCTTAAGTCACAGGCATTTAAAACAGGCAGAAGCGAGACTCACCGGGGAGCGACGGCTGTTCCAAGCTGCCGTCCAGCATGGACAGGTGTTCATACGCGTGGAGGTGTCCCTGCTTCCCTGGACAAACTAAGCTCTCCCGCTCCATTTTGTGGGGTACAGTGGAGCTGGTCGGGTGGACAACTGAGTCCTGCTCTTTATTGAAGCCCAGGATGACATTGATGCTGTGGACGTGGCTCCCTCCAGCCAGCACCCCTCCTTTGGCCATCTCGTGGACGGCGTCCGGCGAGAGATAGCTGTCGTCCACCACGCTCATGGTGTCCGGTGACAAAAACATGCAAATGATCGTCGGTATAGTTTATGTTCCGGCAGCTACAGGGATCCTTGTGGAGGAACTGAAAAAAACAGACTATGTACTTCACCGTAGTGTCGGTTCCTTAATGGAAAACACATTGAACTAGCATGTCAAATTAAATATAAAAGAGTACATAACATATCGTTTTTCTTTGCAATGGGCCCTTACGAAAACATTCACCGTAATACAAGATTATTGCTGCCATTACTGGCGTTATTTCTCATATAACTTGCGCAACGTGTGTAAACACAGTTGGTTTCCATACGGTAGACATATAGGTTGTCAAAAACAGTGGCAAAAAATTGTCCGGATGCGGTAAATCGGGAGTTTATCGGGACAAGTGGTAAGTGGGAGGACAGCGGGAGAGATGCGCGGAAAAACGCCGGAAACACGCGGAAATCGATCGTTTGGGGGATTCCAACGGCGGATGGCATTAATGCAAATTTCAGTCTGATTCCCCAGGTTATGTAGACGAATTCCCCTTCGACTTCGGCCCGTGCCAATTTTCCAGCAAAACTTTTTGAATTTTTTAAAAATAGTTTTAAAATACTGGAATATCTAGCTGGCCATTCTTGAACTGCTGCTATTTATCACACTGTACATGCGGGAATATTCGTAGGTTTATCATTATTACAATAGCTACTGAAGGGACAAACGACGCCGAAAAAGGAAAACGCTTCTCACAACAAACAATAACATATTTCAAGAATCTCATTTGTAAAATTACGGTGAAACAATAAGATTTGTTGTTTTCCGTTCGGCTTGCTGGCATGTGCCTTAATTCTATTTTTCGTTTATTTCATTACTTTATTCAAAAGAGATTTGCTTATTTTAATATATACTCCTAAAATACCAGTCTAAACAATTTTCTACTAAAAATGTATTACTGGATATAAAAACCTGGTAAGATCATTAAAGACTCGTAATCTGACTGTTTGCACGGCTAATTGGTTAAATCCCTCTTCAAGTGACCAAACAGGATTTTTACTTCATTTCAACCACTCTAGCTGATTTTGATTTTAAGCTTGATTTTACAAAATGCAAAAAAAGAAAAATAAAGTTAAACTTAAGACTACTTTCATCCAGGTAAATTAATGGACGTTATAAGATTTTGTAATGTTACAACACCATCTACCAAACACCTATCGTGGTCAGGCCGGCCTGCAGCCTATCCCGGCCGGCACGGAGCAAGAGTACGGGGCGCCGGTTCATCGAAATCATAGCGCACACGCTTCGTGCACTTTAGGACTGAATGCGGTGGCGGGGCGGGGCGGGGGGGAGCGGAGAAACCGAGGAAAACTCGAGATACGGGGGGAGACCCTGCAGAGGGAAGATGAGAGCCGACTCCACTAACGGAGGGGGAAGGTAGTAATGTCTCAATGTCAGAAAAAAAAGTACCAGTTTTTACCTAGGCCTCCTTAAGGGGCTCCACCCTCAAGGGTCTGCCAATGTAAATGCCAAGGGTCTGCCAATGTAAATGCCAAGGGTCTGCCAATTGTGCCCTATAGCTGCTGGTAAATGTACCTTTTAAGGTACAGACTCTGAGGAACTTTATCACTAATCGTTAAGAACAAATGGATACATCTTCCAGTTCCGTTGCTCAATTTTGTTTCCACATGCCTTATTTGGTTCGTCGTTTTAATGAAACACACAATAAAAGTATTAGGGCTTTTATATATTAAACTTTACATAGGCCTATATATTATTCATGTATACGTATATAGGCTATGAATTGCAAACTATGCTGAATTATTTCTCATTTTTTTCGATTGCTTAAATATTTTTCTTGGGCGATTTTTTTATTTGGTGACATTTATTAATAGTTTTCTTTCATTTAGGGAAAAAGCACATGCTGGCTCTTGGGTACCACCGCTAATTTGGCAGTAAAAGAACAGGGTCACGCATCACAGAAACGGTCTGGAAATCGTAACACCTTCAACACAAATATTGTGTGTCATTTCTACAGCGGATTCAATGCGATTTAACTTTAATTTTGCTATCCCATAACCCATATTTTCGCGAAACAGAGAGAACGTACAACAAAACAGCGTAGGCCTATACGTACCTTTATGCGTGAGTGACAGTGAACGTGCCACCTGTTCCCTTAGGATGCCCTCCTAAAACGCTATCCCGAAAATACCTTCCCATAAGACCCTCTTTCTGAAATTCCCATCCGATCAGGTCGTCTTCTTTAAGACGATGTGCCACAAGTCTCACTGATGTATCGTTTAAAGTCCCGCACGGTTCTCCTATTCCATGTCACCACTCACCAGGGCTTGGCTATTTAAAAATCTGTTGCAAAGTTGCATAACAATAAAAAAAAAGCCAACGATAATGTCAGGAAAAAGTCATCGCGTGATTTAATTTCTTCTTTAAGTTGCTTTGCAGACGGCAGGGACGTGGTTTGGGATGTAAATAAACGGGAAGGATTAGACCGCTTCATTAGTGGGAGTCCTCCCCCCTAAGGATGACTGACGGCTGTTGTCGGGGTCAGTAATTGCTCTACAAGAAGCCGACGGTCTCCGCCGAGGGGGGCGCATCTAATGAGGCGGCTCGCGGACTCTTTCAAAACATCCATTGTCTTAAAAACAAAGAAGTTCTTCTGGAGTATTTTGTTAATCCTCTCATTACCCTTGTTAGGGGGAAGAAACTTTTATGAAAATATATTTAAAAAAAATGGAGGAAGAACCCGTTTGTATGTAAAATTATTATTAATCCAATATCTGAAACTGACTTAATTTATATTATCATATTTAAAGTTTGTGGAAAATGGTTTGTGACATAAATGACAGATACAAACGGGAAAATAAAAGGTTAGGCCTAATCTACGAAACTTTAGTTTTTTAGCAAATGATATTCAAAAATGTACAGCTGGCAGTCTTGCATTTTAATGTGCAGTGCCAATTTTGAAACCAGCTTTAATTGGATAATGCATCAAATTAATTGTGACTCTGACAGCAGTCATTTTAAACTTATATATTAAAATACTTTAAATCTTTACAGAAAATCCAAACAGGTCTTTGTATTAGAAAAATCTGTAGACCTACATAATTTATGCACTGAAGAAGTGTATCAGGTCTAATTGATCATCCACTTCCTGAAACCACTTATCCTGCTCAGGATCTCAGGGGGACTGGAGCCTATGGGTGTAAGGCAGGGAACAACCGAGGACAGGCTTCCAACCCAATACAGGGCAATTTGGTAACTCCAGTGAGCTTCAGTGTGTTGGTGACAGTGGGGAGAAACCAGAATACTCATAGGAAACCCCTCACTGACATAAGGGAGAGACGTCAACCACAGAATCCCCAGAGACTTGAACACAGGTCGCAGAAGTGTGAGGCAACAACGTTAACCGCTGCACCACCATGCCTCACCATTAGCCACTTATATCCATATAAATCATTTTTAGAGGTAAAACATTATAAGAGAAAAATAACCTAAGAGGGATGTTACTTCATGGTGGCGCAGTGGTTAGCACTGGAGTCACACACCACTAGGGCATGGGTTTGCGTCTCCGCCAGGGTGCTGTGTGTGTGGAGTGCTCTGGTTCCCCCCCCCCCACAGTTCAAAAACATGCTGAGACTAATTGAAGTTGTCTGTGTGTGTTGGTGCCCCCTCCTGGGTCGGTCCCTGCCTTGTGTTCATATGCTCCTGCAGCCCTGAACATCAGAGGAGGTTTCAGAAGATGGCTTGGTTGTTACTTTCTGCTTTTCTTAAATTAATCACTATTTCAGGAGTTTTATAATCAATTTTTAATCATTTGCCCCAACTCCATTTTTTTAAAATATGGTGAGATCAAGTAAAACAATTTCTGAAATTGCTAAATGTGCTCCAGTATGGATATGAACTTAAATGTATGGTTGTTTGTTGCATTTAAGTGCTGAATAACAAAACCTAATGAAATGTGAATTGTTTAAAACTTTTGTATTGTATTTAATATTACCGTTATTGCAGTATTTAATGTGACACTATTTGCCAGACCAAACTGCACACACATACATTAACTACCTCCTGAAGGTATTTAGGGTTTCTGATCTCATCTCTATATAAAGGTGTTTAAATAAAATGACTCTGAACAACTCACCTGAAGTAGCAACCTGTGAAATCTGGCAAATTGATTTCTTCCAAGCCGTGATCGCAAAGCGTGTGTGTTTGTGGGGGGGTAATCATTTTATCACGTTAATATATTAAGGCTGCCTCTTTGCTCATTAGCTTAATTGAATAGTAATTGGTTAAGCAGGTACAGTGTAGACAAGCTGATTATATTTATAAGATGACAGTTAAACTCCCTTAGATCCCACCAGGAACGAGGCTGACAGAGCTTCAAGGCACGGTGACTGCTGTGGGGGGGCATGAAGGAGTAGCGAAGCAGCTGACCCCCCCATGTGACCACTCTGTCACCTGCACCCTGAAGACAGGCTTGCTTGCTAATGTTTCCTCTCCATACTTCATAAAACTGCATTTCAGCTCCTTAACCACACCGCCATCTGCTGGACATGAGAAATCATAGCACATTCATTTTCAGTGAGCGGTGCTAAGGACACATGGCAGTATGCAGTATGCAGTATGCAGTATGCACCAAGCAGTATGTACCGCTAAGCTCCGACTAGCCATGCAGAAAAACACAGTCACCCAACGGGGCCTGAGGTCTGTATCATCAGGCATTATGTTTCTTCCTGAAAAGTAAGAGTAACCTGTCTACACCTTGGTGGTCTTCCTGGTATATGGTGGTCTTCTTGATAATATTGTGGTCTTCCTGGTATATTGTGGTCCTCCTGGTTTATGGTGGTCTTTCTGATACTATGGTGGTCTTCCTCGTGACGTACGATGTGCCCTTTCCCAGCTGTGAGCTCACAAGATTTCGGCCCTCAACCTTGATTATGAAATTCAAGCCATAACAGCATATGAGTGTAAATCACATTTTGGTAGTTGTACCTCCACAGGAGTGAAGCGTGAAGATTTTGTTTTTACTGCTCCGGGATTCAAGTTGTCCTGTCCTACGAAAGACATGGAAAAATAAAGAAATTTTCCATGTCAGTTTTGTCCTCCCTCAGAAATGCGAAATGGATTTTCCCTTAACACTTAACCACATGCTCTTAACTTCATTAAAGAAGATGAATTCCTAGGAACTGATAACGTATTTTGACACCTAATCAGCTGATTAGTAGCCGTTCCTATTAATCAAACCTCCGCCAGCCAATCCCCTCTCTGTGATATGACCCGCCCTTCCCAGCCTTCATGTACCCTCCAATTCACTCCTCTGTTGCCTATTATTTGAGGCCATAGTAATAAGGTAACCTTCACTATAGAAATGTTACGGCTGTGCTGATTGGCCGAGACACCATAAGAAGAGGCGGAGCTTATGAGCAGGGCACAACTCTTTTAGATGCATTTCTGTTATTTCTCTGCCACTGATTTCAGAATAATTTAAGACTCCAGCTTAAGAAAGCTTTCAATGAATGGAGTGTTAGTCAGATACGTGCATCTCTATCCAGGTAAAGATACTGCAGTTCCCTCATGAGGAGCAGAAGGAGCACTCAGCTCAGCCGCACAGGGAGTAACCTCCATGGAGTAACCTCCAGAGAGTAACCTCCAGAGAGTAACCTCCAGGGAGTAACCTCCAGAGAGTAACCTCCAGGGAGTAACCTCCAGGGAGTAACCTCCAGAGAGTAACCTCCAGGGACCACATGGTCACAGATCCATACCTCACACTCCCCTCACCACCACCACCACCTCCCCCCGGCTGAAGACTTTCTTTAATTTCTCGAACTGAATTACAGAACAGCCTGGAACGATTAACAGGGAAATGTTCCAGAAGGACTTCACTGGGATCAAACTCACAACTGACGAGTCTTTGCCCTAAGCCCCCCCCCCCCAAATGAACAAAACAGGGAGATCCTCTTGGGACCATCCGACTTCATCCCCGCTGTTGGAGGGGGACAGAGGGAAGTGGACCGCATTCCTGTCTCCATCAGAATACATCCAGAGTCCAGAGACGTTGGATCTCTAAATAGCTTCCCTTTAATGCATCAAACCTTCAAAGCTACACCAAACCTGATACACTCATACAGCGATGCCTAAACAACATTTTTGAAATATAAATCTAGTGTAGGAATTTATTTACATATACACATATGTACAGCCATACCTGACTGGGTCTTCATTCTCCCTCTGCTCTGGTCATTTGTTTTGCATCTCTTTAATTGAAAACTAAAGGTAATGAAACTTATTTTAATTAATTAAGCATTCAGCCGTAATTCAATAGCCCCTTTCTAAGGGTCTAGCTTTTCATTGTGCAAATACTTTTTAATATGGGGTCAGTCCTGCCAGGACATCCACAGACCAACACTTTTTTGGGGAGAGGGTCGTTTTACAGAACTGCAGGCAGGGTCGCGGTGCATTCAGTTACTAGGGTCCATTTTACAAGATATGCATCATGGGTAAAAACGGTGGGTTATACATTAGTGACAAAGGAAGTGATGTGGTCACAGACTGCCGTGGTTCACATGAGGGCACACTTCTCCTCCGCGGCCTGCTTCACTTCCGTTATGGTCGTCTGGGCTTTGCTCTTGATGGCTTCAAAGTCCAGATCCAGGTTCTGGATCTTTCCCAGCAGGGAGTCGCTGGCCTCCTCTTGCTCCTCATCCTCCTCCACCATCTTTGCCAGCTCTTCGGGGAGGTAGACCTCTCCTCCAGCCATCTGGATGGTGGCGTCGTCTTGTGCGCTCTGGGGGTATGTAACAGCGAGGGAGACATCAGTCACTCAGTCACAGAGATTACACAGGTAGGGTCATCAGGTGACACCCAACCGCTTTTAGTCATTTAGTAAAGCCAGTGACAGGAAGGGGAGGCTAGGGGGTGAGGAGGTCAGAGGTCAAGGGGCAGGGCTGCATACTTCGGGAAGCCGATATTTGTCCCTCAACTGGACACGCAGGTTGGCTCTCTCCGCCTTCTTCATGGCAAAATCCTTATCGCGCTGGATCCTGCAGAACAGACAGGTTATCTTACCCCCCCCGTCGAGCTTCAGTAAAACCCGGACTTATAAATGGCACACAGGCATCAGGGTTTGTGGCAGGAGCCAGGCACTAACCCCAAAGTGGGTTGGCCTTCTCATGGGGCTCCAATCATCATCCTCCTCCATGCTGATGTCATCAATGCCCGCATCACTCATACACACTACACTCCATTTTTGTGAGGACAGTAAATAAGGAGACGGTGAAAATGCAAACACTTGGCCCAGTGGGTATCAGAGGTAAGAACATACCTGGATGCACTGGGAGCATTAAAATCATACATGATCATCACCTGCTAGAAATATCAATTCAACAGCAGAACACATGTCCCTGATTACCTCATAGTTACAGCACATGCCGGCCTACATTTTTTTGTAAACTTGTCCAGTTCCAACTCTGTTTACAGAACTGGAAAAGACACATGTGGACCTGGGAAGTGTCAAAATACACCAGAATGTTACAGAGCCATGTTATACAAAGACGTCATGAAAACTGCAATATATCTAACAGCCAGCCAAGGCTCTGCATCCCCCTGGAGTTACACTTTCAGTTTCTGTCTTCACTCACATCCTGACTCAAGACTACAAAATCTGGCCCCGTGTTTAGTAAGAAATAAATGACTGGACGACTGAAAATTATCCACTGTCAGTAATATTAAAGATGTGCCCTTATTTGGAAGACACGGAATTTTGGGTTGAGTTCAGCCTGTTCTTTATATAGCGCCTTGCTGGGGCGGATAACATAAGAGACAGGAGCTCTATGGGCTCCGTTTGAGTGGGAGGAGGAGGATGCAGGGGCTCTGAGGTGCAGTGAGTAGCCATTAGCCGGGATGTGGGGGTGTGGCTTATCCACAGATCCCAGTGCTTGGTCCTGACCCCAATCCTCACCTAATTCCCTCACTGGGGGTTATGTAAGCAGGTGATACAGTGAGCCCTGGGTCTCCTCCTGCTGAAGCTCCTGATCAGCTGACCTTGGGGGGGGCGTCCCTGGGTAATCCTGTTACAGCACCTGGCCCTCGACCCACACCCTCCTTTAACCTTGTGTTGTCCTCCATTGGGGTCCTGAGGTTTAAGCATTGGGGGGGGGGGGCGTGTCAAACCCAGCCCAGACGCAGTGAAACCCGGTGACGCAAATCTCGCCATGGACCGTTGGCAGGTGCGAAAGGTGGAGCTTGTGGGCCTCCGCAGTTAAACAAAAAGTTTCTTTTGACTATAAACAGGATTTCCTTCCCTAGATCGCCCCTGCCTTTGTCATGTGACCCGGATGCAGGGTCAAAGGTCAACTCAGTGAGAAAAGGCATGTTGAAAAGAAACGACGAGCACGCATCACCTGACAAGAGTGACGGCTTCACCTAAAAGACTGAACACTGAAGACTGAACACCGACACCCAAAATATATCCGACCAGGATGGAAAGATTTTTCAAAGGACCTGTGGTTAGCCCCCTCTGGTCAACCCCCCCCCCCCCCCCCCACACACACACACACACACCACCCACCATGCTAACGGAGCCCCAGACTCACTTCTCCTCCACCAGCTGCCTCTGGTACTCCTCAAACTCCTCACGGGACATGCCCTTGGACTGCGGCGTCTCCTTGCCGTCGGAGCTCCCCTTGGGCTCGTCGTCGCCGCTGCCGGCGCCCATGTTCTTCAGCTTGTCTCCCAACATCTGCTTCATGAAGAATGCCATGGCGGGTCAGGCAACGGGCGCTGTGCGTGTTGGGGGAGTGCTGGAGAGGTACGTGAGGAGAGAATAAAGGGGGAGCGGAGAGCCTTGTGTCCGCAAGTGCCCGGGGGGGGGGAGGGGGGTCCTGTCACCGCCGTCCAGCGAGGTGAGACGATGTGGGTATTGGTGTTATTGCACGGGCAGTAAGAATGGATCAGAAGCTTAACTCATTAGTGGCTACACTGATGCAGCCGGCTGCCCTCACCTTGGCCCAAGCGCACAGGGGCCCCAGGAAGGTGTCACTTAGGGGTCGCCATGGCCACAGGGGCGGGGCTTCTGATGGCACTACAAGATGGCCTAAAGCAGGGCTCTTCAAATCTGGACCTTGATTCCAAATCCAGGCCGTGTTTTCAGTTATCCCTCGTAGTTAGTTTAATATTTACTGATTCTGATTGGCCAAAGGCTTCACACCTGACTCACAGGCAAAGGAAAGTTTGGAAAATCGGCAGTACTTGAACCCTGAGGACCGTGATTTGAATACCCCTGGCCTAAAGTACAGCTCCAAGAGATTGTGCTGCCGGTGCAAAGGTTGTGGGTTCAAATCCCAACAAACATGGATAAATTGTTACACTTCCAATAGTATGAGTTGCTTTGGATAAAACTATCAGATAAATGATGAAATGTAACCACAAATTTACTTCTGAATGGTAAGTCATACTCAAAAGCATAATGTGTCGATTTTATGAGACATTTTGTTTAGCTTTATTTCTTTTACTAAGTCAATTAGACAAACATATCACAAGATAAGCAATGATAAGCAACTAACAAGCCTTTTAAGACCCCGTGTGATAATGTCTGCTTATCTGTTGGGAAATAGCCGTTAACTTTATTCAAGGGGAATAAGGTCACTTCCGGCAGCACAGCCAAGGTGTCAGATGGATACGGGGACATTAAAAACTCCATCCACCCTGGAGGACCGAGGCACCATCACAACCTCTGTATACAATCACACCTCTGAATAATCAGACTTTAACAAGATATTGAGAATTGAGATTTTACATGCAAATCACAAATAACATGAATGGGCTTCTAATCGTATTTCGATCTTTGGAAGACATTTTTGTGCTTTCAAAGTGGTTCAAATACAGTTTGGGAAGGCTGCTGTGTAATATTCGCTGTCAATAAGACGAGTCCCCTGATTATTTAATATGTCCAACATCTTTATTTTTCAAATATCATTATTCTCTTTAATATCGCTGGTTATCCAGGTAGGAGTTTTAAGGAATTGAGTAAAATCCAAACAAATAGTGAAGTATAATGAATCAAGCCTTCAGATGAATTAAAAACTAAACTCCGTATGGGAAACCCAGTGTGTGAAGTAGCGCAGTAATTTCTTACTTACAACGGCCATGACATTCAATATTCCCCGTTTAAGTCCCTTGTCCCTTTGGACGTAGCACGGTAATTAGCGTTCGGAGCGATAGGATATCTGTTATTCCTTTTGTAATCCCGGATTAACTATTCCACCCACCCACATACACACACACATAAATACACGTAATCTCCCTCACTCTGCTAATCAGTCCCGCCCAACATAGGAATCCCCAAAAATTAAGTAGACCTACGTGAAAACTATGGTATTGAGGCACTCAATTCATTTGCTCCTATCTTTGTAACAAAGCATAATATGTATCCCCTTTCAACTTGAGAATGTTTTTTTTCGACAAATAGTCACACAAAGTTTTTAATTTTATGATGGAAACATTAAAATCTACCTGCAGTTATGCGCCGCATAACAACATTTCGCTCCTTGGACTTTTACTTACACAAAAGTGTTTTCAGGGCAGAAGAAAAAATGATTGGTTCAGAGAGATAACCAATAGATTGTAGAAGAGGTTGATTAAAACAGCTAGAGGAGGCGGGACTAACCAATCAGATGTCTTAGTCCCACCAACTCTAGTTGCTTTAACCCACCTCCTCTGCATTCTGATTGGTTATCTCTCTGAACCAATCATTTTGATTTCCCACCCTCTTATATAGAACAGACTCGAGCTGAAATGGGATTCGATTAACCAGACTTTAAATGAGTATCACTTATTTAACGAACACGCAGTACAGCACTATGAGCGACATATGCTTTCCTCCACCGGAGAACAGAGCCCACGGTGTCCCAGGTGGCAGTGCAGGGTGACAAGCGGCTTAAGGCGCAGTAATCCGTCCTACCCCGGAATCAGTGCTCATAGGGACGTTGCTATAGATACGAGAGCCACCAGCCCATAATCCCACTTTATTTCCTTTGTGCAAGGAGGAACAGGATGAGCACTGCCAGAGCCCTACAAAATGACCTCCAGCAGGCCTCTCTTGTGAATGTCTCAGACCAAACAATCAGAAACAGACTTCATGAGGATGGCCTGAGGGCCCGAAAACCTCTAGTGGGTCCTGTGCTCTCTGCCCAGAACCATGGAGCTAGACTAGCATTTGCCGTAGAATACCAGAATTGGCAGGTCCGCCATTGGCTCCCTGTGCTTTTCACAGATGAGAGCAGGTTCACCTTGAGCACATGTGACAGACGTGAAAGGGTCTGGAGAAGCCGTTGAGAATGTTGCTGCCTGTGGTGGTGGGTCAGTGATGGTCTGGGGAGGCATATCCATGGAGGGACACACAGACCTCTTCAGGCTAGACAACGGCACCTTGAGTGTCATTAGGTATCGTGATAAAATCCTTGGACCCACTGTCAGACCCAATGCTGGTGCAGTGGGTCCTGGGTTATGGTGAGAGTATGCAGGCAGTTCCTGGATGATGAAGGAATTGACACTATTGACTGGCCCCCACTGCAGTGGGTCCTGGGTTATGGTGAGAGTATGCAGGCAGTTCCTGGATGATGAAGGAATTGACACTATTGACTGGCCCCCACGCTCTGGGACATTATGTTTCGGTTCATCAGACGCCGCCAGGTTGTACCTCAGTCTGTCCAGGAGCTCAGTGATGCCCTGGTCCAAATCTGGGAGGAGATCCCCCGGGACATCAGCCGTCGTCTCATTAGGAGCATGCCCCAATGTTGTCAGGCATGCATACAAGCACGTGGGGGCCATACAAACTAATGAATATAATTTTGAGTTGCTGCAATGAAATTTCGGCAAAATGGACTAGCCTGCCGCATCATTTTTTTCACTCTGATTTTCGGGGTGTCTTTGAATTCAGCCTCTGTAGGTTGATCATTTTCATTCCCATCAAACGATGTGGCATCCTTTCGTTCCTAACACATCACCCAGTCCATATCAGTGTAGATATCCAGCATGATTTTTTTCCCACGGAGATGAATTTTTTTTTGAGCAGTGTATATTGAACTACGTTAAATATAAGAAAATGTTTACTTCACAGGGGCAGGAAATTAAAATTTAAAAAAATTAATATATAATACACACCCGCCCTATTTTCCTAAAGGCATCTTCAGCACCCCCTACTGGATAAAGCAAAGAGGTGCATCAAAAGCTGCACCATGCACTAAAAAAGGATGACATTAAGGTTGGTGAGTTTAGTCCAACTTTCCAGTTTATTAACTGTCTTCCATGTCTGGTACTGACATACAGCACTTTGCAAAAATGTTGATTCACACTTTCCGTACCCAAAGGAAGAAAATAACTGACCATTGAATACACATCTAAAAAAAAATCACATTACAGGCACAGGGAAACTGCTAAATGCTTAAACCTCCAGATAATTTCACGTGTGAGGATTAATCTGCCCCCCCCCCCCCAAATGGAGAGAATTAGGTGGACTTGTACAAAAGCAGCTGAAACAAGTTCATTAAGTCGCTCCCGGCCTCAGCAAGACAGCTGACCTCCTACCCTCTGGCCACAAGAGGTTAAAAGTGAAAAGTAACACTCTGAACAGGGGGGGGGCAGCTGCAGAACAGGGCCCCAGCAGCGGGGGGTGCGAGCCGGCAGGGGGGCGTTAAAGCACCACACCTGGACCCTCGCAAACGGGAAGCCTTCGCCTCGAACAGCAGCATGGTGCGTGTGCGTGTGTGTGTGCACGAGCACGTGAAAACTGTCACACACTACCCCCCCCCCCAGCCACACACACACACCTCTCACAGTGTCTGTTTTACAAGGGACACTACCTTAACTCAACAGGTTAACATCACCGACCTCCTCTTAGCTTCACTTGACTGTCACGGGCGGAACTGTGTCGGGGGGGGATAAGGGTGCCGTCCAATTTCTTCATTAGAAAGAGGGAAGATACACACCTTCTTACACCCCCCCCCTCCTTGACAATTATTTTTAGGATTCGTTATCCACGTCCTACTTATTTCTTCTTCAAAATAAAAACAAATAAGCAAATCCACCATTCAGTGGCCTGTGGGAAGGGGGGGGCGTCCCTGAACAGTCCACCCCCCCTTCATAGCTTAAAAAATAAAAATAAAAACACAAAGTGTCTGCAGCTGTCAGATGGCTACACATTTGGACTGGCCTTAAACACATGAATTCCCCCCCCTCCCCCCCGGAGAAGAGACGCACGCAAGCTTGGTTCGGGGGGGGCCTATTGTTGGGGGGGGGCGGCGGCAGGCAGAACCTGCCAGGCAAGGGCACCCCGGTATTCATGGCGACTGTGGAATGACTCCATCCTTGATGTTTAGGGAGGTCTAAACCAGTGCTAGCCTCAGTATCTGCATTGAATCTATATTATGTTACTGTAGGAAGGGAGCAGAGGTTATGAAGCCCCCCCTGCTGGGCCTTTATGCCCCCTCCCTACGAGATGCTAACGTGGCTAAACGGCGATGAGTCGATACAGGTGGATATTCATGAAAGCGAGGGCGTCCCAAAGGGTGTCCATCAGGAGTCCTCCTCCTCCTCGTCCTCCTCGTCCTCCTCCTCCTCCTTCTTGTCCTTCTTGCCCTCGCCCTCACCCTCGCCGCTCTCGCCGCCGTCCAGACGGCGCTTGCGCGTGTGGCCCCCGGGCCGCGCCTTGCTGGCCGGCAGACACTCCATCCCCAGCACCTTGTGGATCTGCCGGAAGGCGAGCAGACGCAGGGCGTGCTGCCGCACACAGAGCAGGCATCGTCAGCCGAGCGCCGAGCACCACGCGCAGGAACCGAGGATGGACCCGGCGGGGCAGAGGGGGGCGTACCTGGGCGCTGGCCGTGATGTCCTCCCTGGCCTGGTTGGTCATGCCCTCCAGCACATCCGTCTGGTCCTTCTCACAGGGGTCGAGCAGGCCCGGGCCATCTGGAAAGGTGGCGCGGCGGTTTACTAACCCGGCCGACACTCGAGGCCAAGGGACGGACTGAGCACGCACCTGGAAGCAGGATCCCCGTCGCCATGCACTCTAGAACTCTCCGCAGGGCCTCGCCAGGGCTCAGGGGTCCAGGGGCACTGCTGATGGCTTTCTCTACCAGGAGCTCCAATGCCTATGAGGGGGATGGGGGGCGGGGGGCATCAGCATCACCCCAGCAAAGATCCAGAATGATCCAGAAGTGCTACAAACACTGTATGGGGGGGGGGGGATCTTACCCAGCTGGGCATCTTTCCCCATGTTGGCACACGCCGACAGAGGTCCTGCAGCACTCTGATGACGATCACACAAGACTGCAGGCCGTTAGCACGGGCCTGGAATACAGCGAGGACGGGTCATGGGGAGGCGTCAGTGCGAGGGACTGGAAGATGGGCCAGGAGAGGAGTCAGTGGGAGTGACTGGGGGAGGAGTCGGTGGGAGGGGTTGGGGGAGGAGTCAGTGGGAGGGGTTGGGGGAGGAGTCGGTGGGAGGGACTGGGGAGGAGTTACTGAAGCGCTCAAATGGAGGGATTGGGGGAAAGACAGGGGAGGGGTCTGGAAGGGAAGAGGAGGAGTCAATGGGAGGGATTAGGGGAGAAAACATGGGGGGGGACATTCAGGGGCCTACATTCTACTCTCACGAGGAGTAAATTTACCACCACAGGCCTGTCAGAAGCAAACAAGAACGTGGCCAGGAACTCATACCAAGGACTCCCCCCCCCCTTCATCCAGGCATCCCTTACCTGGAACCACTTGGCGTGACGAAGAGTGGCCAGCCCCTCCAGACACCTCCTCCTGTCCAGGATGTCCTGGGGGTCCGGCTCCGTCACACCTGGGAGGCAGGAACAGAGAGGAGCCATACTAAAGCTGCCCCCCCTCCAAGAGTGACACTCTATTTTTAAACAACCCCCCTCCCCCAGAACTGGAAGACGCACTGGCCGAAAGTTTGGGGCTGAGAGTTAAACCCGACGTAGGGCGTGTGGGAGAGAGGCCCCAGCCCCCGCCTTCAGGAGAACCACAGGGACACTTTCAAGAGGCCTTTTCACCTTCAATAAAAGCCTCAAAAAATCCCTTTAAGTGTTTCAGATTTACACAGCAAGGACAGGAGCAGAGAGCACATGTACTGGAAGAATCGGAACCTGAGTCTGGTCCCTTTAAACATAAACGGGTTAATCGATGAGACAGACGTTGTGCCGCAAACGGCCATCAGATGATAGGCCGCAGCGCTGACTGGCACAGAGTATTGCAAAACCGCCCCTTTAAGACGGTCACCGCCACCAGGTACCGGCTGTGGGTGGGAGGGGGTGGGGGGTGTGCGTCGGTCCAGCGACACGGGTCGCCATGGCACGGAAAGGTCAGAGATCACCGCTTCAGGACACAGCAAATGCCTGATAGGAAAACTATACGGCGTGTGAATGGGACCAGCTAGAACCCGAGCTTCCGGGAAACGCTGGAAGAAGCCAATTCAT